CTGGTTCAGATACGTTATGGTGTAAATTGAAACTGACGCAGCCTGATATCGGGCGGATCAGTGTAGTTGATCGCACTCCTTCGTCAGCAGATTCATCAAATGAGACTTTGTTGCAAAAGATTTCTTATTTCTTGTCATTGAATTTCACCCACGTTTTATAAATGGGTGAATTCAATTGCCCAAAGCTTAGCAACATGATGACCTNNNGACCTCATGTACGCCGTTTGAACGACAATTCATGCAGTTTATCCAGTCGCATCCGTTGTACAATCATGTGAAGAAACCCACCAACCAAATTTCGTCAAATTTGATCTGAAACTGACAAATGAAGAATTGTTGGTCGAATCAATTACAATCGAAACTCTGTTGGGGTGCAGTGATCACGCTGTATTATTGTTCGAATACGTTTGCTATGCATCAGTAATAACAGCTTCTTCGGATCGCTTTCGCAGCACAACTGACTATGCAGGACTAAACACCCTGACTCATGAAATCCAGTGGATTTCCCCTGATGTAGGCTGCAATCCCCGGGAATCCCGGAGAGAATTTACTAACAGCATCACAACATTGGTGGCTGCTGTTACAACCGTCAAGCGTCTATGCCAACCCACTGTCAGAAAATCAGCAATTCGTAGTCGAACTAGGAAATGGATAATGCAAAGGGACTTTCACTGGAGGGAATTCAAACGCTGTCCATGCCCCAACACTTCGGAAGCTTACAGGATCCTTCAAAACCACTGTACAAATTTGGTGCGAGGTTACAAGCACAATGATCATGATATGCTGGCGAGGAAGTTTATTGCAAACCCTAGGCTAGGCATGTAAGCACTTTCGGAAAGTCGAATACGGCGTTCCGATACTAAACTCAGCAGGACGTGTTTCAGCGACAACTAAGGAAACTGCAGAAATGCTTAGACTACATTACTCTCAATTGGTCAATGCGCCTGGTAACACTGGTTTCGTTCTCCCCGTTTGCTGGAACATCTTACTTACTCATCACTGACAGAGATTATTTTTTCTCCCGAAAGTATAAAGGCAAAGATCCTGGCTTTGGAGAAGAACTTATCACCGGGTTTAGGTAACATTCCTCCAAAAGACCTTACCACCCTGATCCTTTAAGTGAGCTATACCAAAAACTGTTCGAAAATATCGTGCTTCCTCAGGTGTGAAAATACGGTGTCATTTCACCAATTTACAAAGGTGGATGCCGTAGTGACCCGTCACTCTCCTTCCAGTGTTGTCCAAAGTCATGGAATCTATTGTTGCAGATTCTGTAATGGATCATCTGGAGAAAAATGGCTTACTATCCCCAGTGCAGCACGGGTTTCAAAAAAAAATCGTTCATGTGCAACTAATTTGATTGTTGCTCGGGATGACTGGACTCATGCTATAGACCAAGGCAAAGGAGTAGATGTTATTGACCTGGATTTCTCTAAAGCCCGTGATAGGGTAAATCATCAAATACTGATACAGAGGCTGTACAATTATGGAATCCGTGGACTCGTACTTGGCTGGATCGAGGAGTTTCTTCTCCTACGTACCATGTGTGTGTTTCCGCTTCACTTTCTGATCCAATAGATGTCAACCTTGGGGTTCCACAGGGATTTGTGCTGGGTCCACGTCTTTTCCTTGCCTTTATAAATGATCTTCAAGACGTCCTCGGACCACAAACTCTGCTGTTTGCAGACGATGCCAAAATATGGAGGACAATAACAAAACCGGAAGATTCATTTGATCTCCAGAACGCCCTTGACGAAGCCCACAGATTGTCTGTCTCCAATGATATTGAATCCAATATTACCAAATGTAAAATATTATCAGTGTCACAGTGGTCGTTTTTCCTACACTCTCGGGCACGAAACCCTGCCTCATACTCCATCTGAGAAGGATCTGGGA